TAGTGAAGGGGCCACCTCCGAAGCACATCCTCCAGCTTCCATTCCAGGTTTCAGGAGAACTGCAGTCCTGATCAACATGTGGACATAATTTCTGGAGTGACCCCCCAACCTGAACCACTCCTTAAGCTGCTCCCCAAATTTCTGAACAGCAGAAACTGTACTTGTGAGATAACAAGTGTCTGTTGTTTTAAGTTTGGGGATAATTTGTGATGTAATTTGTTATGTAATTTGATAACTAATAAAAGGTCTTTAATACTTGTACTGAGAAGGCCAAACATTAAAAATGAATAAGGAAGAATAAAAAAATGAGTTAAAAAAAAGGACTAGAGGTGATGTGATCGCTGGGTTGTAAGGAAGACATCAATTAGGACAAACTTGATTGCTATTGCAACCATGATGCGCTGGAGAGCAAAACAGGAATGGAACAGCAAGTATAAATTGACATGTTTCCAGGGAAACCAGGGCATATGGTCTACAGGCCGTCTTCCTGGAGGAGTTCTGCTGGAGAAAGCCATGACTGGGTCTGACCAGTGCAGAATCTCTTCAGGCTCTGAGAAGCAGGCCAGGATGCCAGAGAAAGTGTGGTGTGCGGACTTTTTCATTAGAACCCAGTATGAATTCAGGTTCAAACACACACACACACACACACACACACACACACACACACATACACACACAAACTTGCTTCCTCAAGTGGACAAACGGCTTCAGAGAGACTCATGGCTTCCTTGACTCCAAAGCAGCTGGAAAATATTGAAGGGGTGAAGCCTCATCAAGCTGGTGGGTGTAATGAGATGCCTGTAATGTAGTTCCTGGGTGCAGCTTGGTACCCTGACATCTCCTCCTGCAAAGAAGCTTTTAAGTCCTAACCACAGGATATGTGTGCTGCACAAGATGCCTTTAAGGAGCCTGAGAAAATGGTTTTAGAGAGGGCTGCACCAACGTCACTGGAATCGTGCAGTACTATGTGCTAGACACAACTCACAGGACACATTGAACAAGAAGGGAACCTGGGGTCACAGAGCTTCTGCTTTTAACTAAAGAGCAGCTCAATAGCATGATTTGGAAATGGAGGAGCAGCAACTCCATCAATTAAGGGTTTTTACAACTTAGTTATAAGAAAAAGTTTGTCTGCGTCCAAACTTTGAATAGGGTGGAAAGAATTTGTTTTTATGTCTAAATTAACCTGGCTATAAGCAAAGCACTTTTTTAGGCAGAAATAAAGATTGTAGTTTAAGTTTTTATTTTAGGGACAAAACAACTTATTTTATTTTAAAGAGACCACAGTTTTAATTTTACTTTTAATTAATTATGTCTCAAAATAGATGCCCATTAAAATATGACACATGGCCACCTATTCATAGTGAACTATGGGGTGTATCTGAATTATCAAGATTTCTGTTGGGCCAGGGATTTAGCTCAGTGGTGGTGCCATCTGCCTCACAGGCACAAGGTCCTGAGTTTGATCCCTGGCACCAAAAAAAAAAAAAATAAAAAAAAAAAAAAAAAAAAAAAAAAGATTTATGTGTAAGTGATTACAACAGAAATATAGCATATAATAATCTTTGAGATCCAGAGCTTTGCCAAGTATAGTGATAATATAATCCTATAATCTCAGATACTCAGGAGGCTGAAGCAGGAGGATCTCAAGTTCAAGGTCGACCTGTAGAACATAGCCAGACTCTGTTTCAATATAACCATAAATAAATAAATAAATAACTTTATTAATTAATTCCAGAGGTCATGTTTAAAAATTTTTATTGGGTATAAATGAAAACTATCCACCATTTACTGACACAAAGCAAGTAGTTGCAGAGATATTTGAAACTATTTGAATATCTATAGATATTCAGAAGATGACAATCTGGTTCCTGAAGGAGCTAATATAGTCGGTTAAAATAGTCACCCAACTATTCAAATTCAACGTACTTCACTGAAAAAAGAACGCGATTTTTTTCCTTCTTTTCTCACTGCTTTACATCATCCTTCAATCCATGCTCACATGCTGGAGGCAATTCCATCTTTCTATAAATAAAATGTTACAAACAGCAGAGCAGTTCACAGATGGGAGAGTTGCCTGGAAAGGCAGGAAGCTCCCTGCTCCAGATGATAAAATAAGGATTCCTTAGCAGAGAATTTACGTGTGGGTTGAGTGGCTAACCAAGGTGAGTGGTTAACACCGAGGCTTCTGGGATTCTATAGTTACTTTACCATACATTAATTGTTGCAACAATTGCCTTGGCTTCCTTTTGAGAAAAAAAAATGACATGAAATATTTGTTATCGCAATTGTCATCTAAAGCAGGGGTCCCCAGCCCCCAGGCAAGGGACAGTACCTGTGGATGACCTGTGAGAACTGAGTGCTCAGGGGATCCTGGAATTGAAGTGGTTGCACATTTAGGTCTTCTCATAATGGAGCTCAGAAGATTTTAGAGGCAGTTTTGAAAAGAAAGAACCACAAATATAGACTGGACTCCAAAGAGCAGCCCTTCAAACACCAAACAGTCTTGCAAGGCCATTCCTGAAACTTTCTTGCCTTTTATGGAATTCATGACCTCAGACATTGGCTATAAACACAGACAGCAAGGTGAATCTTTTGATGAACAAGCCCTGAGGTGCCTGTATGGAATTTTTGTTGCTTACTTGCTCATCACTACAAGAAGGGGTTTAGCCTCTGGCTGTCTCTCATTATTACAAAATCCATTTAATCCTGAAGGCCCAACTCAAGGAGCTGGTTGCTTATTTGGATGAGAAGTTTAAACCCTGTACTTTAATTTTTCTTTCTAAAGCTTATCTGGATGACTTAGTATAGTTTTCCTCTGTGTTGGCAAATTTATGCCACATGTTTTTTAATTTAACACGGTGATTTTTACATGAGGCAAAAGGACAAAATCTTCCGCAACCTTGCTTGCTCCTACTTATCAGTTCTCCTTGGCATGGGAATAGGTAGCCCCTCCCCATGTTTGCCCCTGGTTCTAAACAAACCCGTGTCCAGTTCTGAGAGTGGCTCTGTGGCACATACCAAGACAGTGTGTCATACTCCCTGGATTGCCTCACAGAAATGACATGGAGATTGGAAATATGCAGCCCTCTCTCTTGTGTTTGTCATCCAGACACCCTGTGAGGGCTGGCAAAAATTGTTCTTATTCTCTAAATATTCACTGGCATGTATTTGTGAAGTAAAATGATGTTTTGGGTTTGCAGTTGGTTTTGCAGCAAATGAACATCTGTTATTCTCTTTTAATCAAGAAGTTCTGAACACAGTTGGGCAGGGCGATTTGGCTTTCTCCACTATCTCTATTGAGTCAGAGATGAAGGCTGTCATTGGTTAGCTGCTAGTTCATTGGCTGACCAGCTGCCACTCATCTCGTACAGCTGTTTTGGCTCCAAGAGACTCATGGTTTGGAAGAGAGTCAGGGTCAGCGTGTTCTATAAACGCAACCCAAGGGAGTGCTAGGAGCAGGGATATTTCATGAAGCTGCTCTGGTCAGCCATTGCTGAATGTGGAAGGCACAGCCCTGAGTGAGTGTGAAGTAGACAGAGGTCCAATGTGTACCTTTTAGGATTGTGAGTCATAGCAACTTTGTAGAGTAGTTGTTTTTATTTACTGGCATCTTTCTTCCCTATTTCTGTGATATGAGATTATATATAGTGTGACCTGTCCTGAGGCAAATGTAGTTACCAAGAATGCCTGCTGTGTACCATAAGAAGGATTTTATTTCCTATCTATCTCAGTGTCATGAAATAGAAAAAGATTTGAATTCCCTAGACTAACTGTCACAGTTTCTCTACCCTGGACTTCAAAAAGGTAAAAGTGCAAAGCTAAAAGTTCTCTCTCTTCCAAGACTCTTTAGCAAAATTAGTCATTAATGATCCATCCTACACACAGTTGTAGATCACTGTTCCTGACTCACAATTCCAGTTGTGTTATCGTCTTGCTAAATTTGCTTTACAGGCTTACAGCTCTCAGGAACACTCAGCATACAAGGTCCTCCACAGTCTGATCCCAAACTACTTGTCTTATCACCAACGACTGTGATTAATGTTTTCTTCAGCCTAACCAAAATTCACCACATACTGTACTGTTCTTTATTGCTTCTGGTTCTCCCACTTCTTTAGTTTTGCTTATTCTGTTCCCTGATCTGAAACACAAATGGCCCGATTGTTTAGACCCAGTTCAAATACGTCTTCTCCATAAAGTTTTCCCCGAACTCTCCCAACTGAGACACTGTCTGTTTCTTCCAAATAGCCAGTCATGTTTCTCATCCACCTCCCAATATTCCCATTAGTGTTTTTTCACAGTGCTCAGTTGTCCTACCTTCTTCCACAGCAGCAGGCTGGCCTTGTCTCGGTCAATCTTTCCACTTTCCCTTGGGCCTTGCAAACAGCATGTGCTTGATGATTATTTGTTGTTGTTGTTGTTGTTGTTACAGATGTAACAATAAGCATTTGTAGAGAACTTTGGATTTATTGAGGACATTCACATTCATTATTTCACTTACTATTCATAAATGAAAGTAGAAAGAACAGATGTTCTCTTTATTGCAAATATGGAGAAGAGAAAGAGAACTGACTTTTACTTATTTATTAAACTATTACTGTTGTAGGGGCCAGTCATGGCCCACTGGCTTTTGACATTTGAAAGATAACTTCTTTCTCTAGGCATTGACACAATGTGTGGTCAGGATGTTCCTAATTAACATGTGTTTCTTTTCAAGAACTCCACGTGTTAAACTTGTTTTTGACCCTGGATGGGACTCAAGAGATAGCCAAAGATCTGGCGTTATCTGTAGGAGTCAGGTGCTTCCTGTTAAAGATCTGACGTTATCTGTAGGAGTCAGGTGCTTCCTGTTAAAGATCTGACGTTATCTGTAGGAGTCAGGTGTTTCCTGTTGATATGCCTTTAAAAGGAGCTGTTTCTGTGAAATAAACCAGACTTCTCTTGGTCTCTACTCAGGTTTGAGTGTTCTTTCCTTTCTTAATCCTCACTCCCCAACTCAGGCATGTTCGTGTTGTGATGGCTGGCGCACCACAAGTGGCAGCCACACAGGGACCTGAGTATCGAGGGATCCAGTGAAGGACACCGCAGAGAAGAATGAGGCCTCAACAAAAAGGTAAGGAGTGGTGAATTTTCTTGTAAATATTAAAAATGGGAGCCGGCAATAGTTGCATGCTTTTTGTACATATGCTTAAAGATTTATTGCGTGTTGGTGGTGCTAGAGTAGGGCACCAGCAATTGTGTAATTTTTTAGAATTTGTAGAAATAGTTTGTCCCTGGTTCCCTGAAGAAGGCACTGTAAACTTAGATACTTGGAGTAAGGTAGGAAAATGATTACAAGATTATTATGCTGCACACGGACCTCACAAGGTACCCATGGATACTTTTAGTTTGTGGACTCTCATCAGAGATAGTTTAGAACCCCCCCACACACACACACACAGAGAAAGCCCTCTTTAATTGCTCTAGCTTTAGGGCCCCTTAAAAGTTAAAAAACCTGTTAGAATCAATTCTCAACCTCTTTTGTCCCCTGTTCAACAATGGTTACAACAAGCTTTAAATATTGAGAAAGATTTATCTGGATTTTCCCTTATCTGCCCAGTCTTTGACACTCGAGATGCTCAGGAAAACCCTGTTCGTCAACATGCTCCAATATCTTTTAAACAATTAAAAAAAATTGAAAATGGCTTGCACCCAATATGGACCAACAGCCCCTTTTACTTCAGGTTTGAGTGTTCTTTCCTTTCTTAATCCTCACTCCCCAACTCAGGCATGTTCATGTTGTGACCTGGGCCACCACATACTGTGTCATTGTTAGTGCCTGCCTTTTCTGCCATGTTTCTAAATTCTACAAAAATATTTGTCAGATAAATGAACAAGCCTGGAAATGGATGATTGTCCAGTATGGACTACTTAAATCTCACTTTTTCCATTTTACAGTGAAGGAAATGTAGCCTCCAAGGTGAATCGTAGTACTGTGTATAGCTGGAATGGAAACTCAAATCTCATTATTCCAGGAAGCTTTATTTTCCTTCACACTTTCAGGCTCCTATGAGTGCCTTTGTCTTTCTTTTGTTGTGGCTGTTTTTGGTTTTAGTCATTATGATTCTATAATAAGTAAATTTTTCAAGAGTTATTTTAATTGATAATTTGTCTCTGTACATTAGAGACACCAAAGTTACTGACTAGTGCTTAGGATGTTAGGCGATATTGCCAAGTCCAAGGTCATTGTGGCGTGAGGGGTGATGAGTTCACTCTTTGAAGGGAGAGGTATTTTCAAAAGATTGCTCTACTTTTACTGTAGTTACTGTTTCCTCTAAAAGAAAAAAACTGTTTTGATCTGAATAAATACTAATTAAATGCATATCTCAATTGTATTCTCGCTGATCCAGAAGAATATTCATAGTTACATTTAGATGATTCTCTTTGAATAGGGGAAACCAATGTACCGAGCACTCTTATCAAGCCAGGAATTTATTTTATAACCTGACAAGGTAGGTATTATCACTTCAATTTTTAAAAATGAAGACAGTCCTACTTTATGATTTGTTTTAATTTCTATTACAATTCAAATGAAATTTTTAATTTAACATTGACTTGTTCCAATCTTTTTCTTTCTCTAATGTGAAATTTGGACAAAGATGTTTTTCTTAACAATACTCTTCACACCTAAAGGCAAAAGGAAGTTTTATTTTTCTGAGCATTCTTTCACAGAAAAATCTGTTTTCACATTGTGTTTGCTAGTTAAATCACTGGGCTTGGAGTTTTTTGACTGGTTAATTCAGGCACGCAAAAGTGAAAGTTTAATATTTAGTATCTGATTATCATTAATTAAACGTGTTGGAGTTTTTATGCAATATATGAGGCGTTACTCAAAAATGTTTAAAACTTTAAACAGTTATTAGAGTAAAAAATACATTGCCATTAATCCCCTTCACTAGAAGACAGTTATTTCACTATTCTTGACAATGTGTCTTTTCTAGTAATAGGTTATTGGATTTGTTTTTTAACCTAAACATTCACCATTAAGTTTAGGTACATTTTAGGTCTACATTATGATCACATTCAACACTGGGAATTTGAACCTGTACATGAGATATCTTGGTTCTTCTTCCCCTTTCCTCGCTCCCTTCCACCCCTCCACCCCTCCCTATTTACAAAATTTTTATTTCAATTTTTTCCTTCTTTTCTCATAGATTTTTCTTTCCCTTCTTTCCTTTTCCAACCTCCCTTTTATTCCCCTTGTCCTTTGGACCTTTTCTTCCTATTTCACATTATCTATTATACATTTTGGTCCTCATTTACACATTTAGTTTCTCACACCAGAGAAACTATTTGGTATTTACACATGTATCCCATTATTTCACTTACAAATATAGCCTCATGGTCCATCCATTTAGCTAAAAATGTCTCTCATTGCATATCCTTTGTGGATGAGTAGTACTCCATTTTATAGAAAAATCAGATATTTTTTAGTCACCAGTTAATGGAAATTTGGGCTGTTTCAAAAGATTTAGCTATTACAAAATATTCCACTATAAACATGGGTGCACATATATTGCTGTGGTATGATTCCTTTAATTCTTTTAGGAAGATGTCCAGAAGGGGAATAGCTGGATGGGATTTCCAATCCTAGTTCTTTGAGGTTTCTCCACACTGATTTCCACAGGGTTTGCACCAGTCTACACTCACTGTCAGGGCAGAAGGGTTCCTTTTCCCCCACAGCCCCACCAGCATTTGTTACTGGTTGATTTCTTGATAGCAGACATTCTTTCCAGACTGAGGTGAAATCTCAGTGTTTTCATTTCCATCTCCTGAATGACCAGTGATGTTGAACATTTTTTTCATATTGTTAATTTTCTTTTTCTACTTCTCTGTCTGAGAAACGTCTGTTCATTTCAGATGCCCCTTTTTGGATTGGGTCTTTTAATTTGAGGAGTCTGATTTTTTTAAAGTTCTTAATACATTCTAGATAGTAGACCTTTGCCTGAGGAGAAGCTGGTAATATTTTTCCCCCACATTATGGCTTGTCTCTTCACTCTGTTGGTGGTTTCTCTTGCTGTGAAGAAACTTTTTATTAAGATGATATCCCAGTTGTTGCTTCTTTGTGCTAGTTCACGTAAAACTCAGGTTTTGTTCAGTCTTTTCCTACGCCAATGTCTTCAAGAATTCTACCTAACTTATCTCCCAGCAAGTTTAGTGTTTCTGTACTAATATTTAGAACTTTGATCTGTTTCAATTTTAGTTTTTTGCGTGGTGAAAGATATGGATATAATTTTAATCTTTGGCAAATTGAAACACAGTTTTTCCAACACCATTTATTAAAGGGGATATATTTTTTCCAGGGGAGGGCGTTTGGCTCCTTTGTCAATGATGAGGTGGCTTATTGTGTCTCTTAATTGTTTCAGGGTCTCCCAATCTGATCCACTGATCCTCTGGTCTGTTTCTTTACCAGTACCATGCCGTTTTTATCACAGTGGTTTTGTAGTGTAGTTTCAAGTTGGGGATTGTAATAATCCCTGCCTTATCTTTGTTGCCTAGAATTGCTTTTGCTACTCTGGGTCTCTTCTAGTTCTAAATGAATTTTTGCATTGCCTTCTGTAGTTCTGTGAAATATGTTGTTCAAATTTCAATCAATATTGCATAGAATCCATATAGCTATTTTGGAAATATGGCCATTTTCACTATATTGGTTCTTCCTACCTAAGAGCAAGGGAATTCTTTCCATTTTGTGATATCTTTGTTGATCTCTTTTTTTCACAGTGCTGTAGATTTCAGAGTAGAGGTCTTTTGCTTCCTTCATTAGATTAATCCCTAGGTTTTTCATTTTGGGGGGATGCTATGGTGAAAGGAGTTGTTTCTTCATTTCCTCTCTCAATGAGTCTGTTGTTCATGTACAGTAAAGACTATTGATTTTTGAGTTTTGACTTTGTATCCAGCTTCTCTACAGAATCTGGTTATTAAGTCTATAAAGGACTGTTGATGGAGTTCTTGGGGTCTTGTATGTAGCATATCATGTCATCTGCAAATAGTGACAATTTAACTTCATTTCCTATCTTTATTCCTTTTTATCTCCTCTTTTCTAATTGCTGTGGCTAACATTTCCAGAACTATACTGAAGAGGAATGGTGATAGTGGACATCCTTGTATTGTTCCTGATTTTAGCATTAAAGATTTCAGTTTTTGACCATGTAGTATGATGTTGGCTGTTGATTTTTCATAGATGACTTTTATCAGGTTGAAATAAAAACCATCTCTTCCAATTTTCCATAGTTTTTTTTTTTTAAATAATGGGTTCTGGATTTTGTGGATGGCTTTTTCTGCATCTATTGAGATAATCATTTGGTTTTGTCCTTGATTCTGTTAATAAAGTATATTACATTCATTGTTTTGTTTATGTCAAACCTTCCCTGCATCCCTGGGATGCATCCCACTTGGTCAGGGTGTATGATCTTCTTGATGATCTACATTCTGCTAGCCAGAATGTTTTTGGCAATTTTTGCATCTAAGTTGATTAGATAGATTAGCCTATTGTTCTCTATTTTGTTTGGGTCTTTTCTCTGTTTTGGGGATCAAGGTGATGCTTAGGAGTATGGCTTCCTTTTCAATTTCACTGAAGAGTTTAAGTGGTAGTTGCAATCGCTCTTCTTTAAATGTCTAGTAGAATTCATCAGGGAAGCCATCAGGAACCTGGCTGTTTCTTTGTCAGAAAGTTTTTAATTGTTTTTCAGTTTTCTTGATTGATATCAGGTGGTTTCAAATTTTTAGATCTTCTTTGCTTGACTTTGATATGTATCTAGAAATCTATTTCTTCATTTTCCATCTGATATGAGGTAGAGGCTCTCAAAGTAGGTATTGTTGATCATCTGGATTTCTGCTGAGTTTGTTGGAATTTCACCCTTTTCATTCCTAATTGCATGGATTTGGGCCTTTTCTTTCCTTTTTATAAAGTTGGCTAAGGCTTTATTAACTTTGTATTATTTTGAAGAAACAACTCTTTGCTTCATCGCTTTTTTTGTAACATTCTCTTAGTCTCTATTGCATTGATTTCTGCTCTGATCTTTATAATTTCCTCTCTTGTATGAACTTTGGGTTTGTTTTCCTCTTCTTTTTCTAGAAGCTAGAGGTTCAGCATTAGGTTCTTTGAGCTCGCTTTGTTTTCCTAATATGGGTTTACTCCTATGAATTTTCTTCTTAAGACTGCTTTCATTGTGTCCCATTAATTCCTGTATGTTGTATTCATTTTGTCACTTAATTGTAGAAACTGTCGAATTTCTTTAATTTTGTCTGTGATCCATTGGTTCTTTAGGAGTGCATTATTCAATTTCTATGTGTGTATGAGACTCTTGTGGTTTCTTTTGCTATTGATCTCTAATTTCATTGCAATCCTGATCTGGTAATGTACAGGGGATAATTTCAATTCTATGGCATTTACTTAAACATATTCTATGAGTTAGTGAGTGGTCTATTTTGAAGAATGTGCAGCTGAATAGAATAAGTATCATGATTTTGTGGGGTGGAACCCTCTGTAAACATTTATTAAGTTCATTTTTTCAAGAGTTTGGTTTAGCTCTAGTATTTTATTGTTGATTTTTCTCTCACTGACCTGCCTGTTCGTGATTGTGAGATATTGACATCCCCCACTACTATTAGTGATTACTTGATTTTTCATGTTTATTAATACTTGGGTGCAATATTTGGTGCATATGAATTTATGATTTTCATCTCTTCTTGGATTATTTCCTTTACAATGATGTAGTGACCTTCTTTGTCTCTTTAAATTAATCCTAGTTTGCAATCAACTTTGTCAGTAAATAGGATAGCTGCCCTTGCTTTTTGGGCAGTTCCTATCACGTGGAGTATTCCTTTCCACGCTTTGACTTTTAATCTATGAATTTTTAAAATTAAGTGTGTTTCTTTACGCAGCATATTTTTATATATTGCTTCATTCTGGCATTCAATTTTTTTTTTGATTGGTGAGTTGAGCCCATTAGCACTGACAGTTATAACTGATATATATGTATTGACTTATCCTTGCCATTACCTTTTCCCATTGTTGGATCCACCCCTCCCCCCATTTAATTCCTTATCTTGACTGATGAATTCATTCTGCTTGGCTTCATGAAGTTGTGACCCTCATTGTATTTGCCTAGGATATTGTCAGAGTGTCTTAGAGTGCTGGTTTGATATTTGTGAAGTTCCTCTAGTGTTGTTGGTCATGAAAGTATCTTATTACTCCATTGAGTTTTTGAAAGATAGTTTTGAGGATACGTTAATCTGGGTTGAAGGTTGTTTTCTTTTAGGGCTTGAAATGAATACCCCAGGTTCTCCTTGACTTGAGGGTTTCTGTTGAGAAGTCTGCTGTGAGTCTGATGAGCTTTTCCTTTGTATGTGATTTGTTTCTTTTCTTTTTCTTTTTTTTCTTTTTATTGAGGTTATTGGTACAATCTAGGTATACAGTACAATTACATTCATCATTGGAATTCTGTACCTTTACATACTAGGTCTTGATTCTCATTTTTCCCCTTGTCCCTGCCCTCCCTTCACCCCCTCCTCCCCTCCCCATTTACAAACACTTTATTTCCATTTTTTCAGTTTCTCATATTTTTTTCCTCTCCCTTCTTACCTTTCCCCCACCCTTCCCACTTTCC